TTTTTTACAAAGTTTCACACACATCTCCTGTTGGAACACTCGGCATGAGTGCTCCCTCTCCCTCCCCGCAACCGCCATCCTCAATTAGAGCCGAGGTCATCCCAGTAAGAAACATGTCTGTATTCAATTCTTGCTTCACGCTGTAAATACAGCCCAACTGCAGAAAAGCAACGCCGCCACGCTTTCGTCCCATTCTGGACCATTAACTAGGAGCAAAACTCCTTGACATCCTTGAGCAGTGAGGCATTTGAAGAAAAACTCGATGCTTTAGGTGTCCAAGGCTGGTCAGAACCCAACACTGGCATTGATGTTGATGGTTGATGTCTGCTGCAGTGACAAATTGACATGAAAAGCACCAGTATATATATATATACACATTACACTACATTACATGGCATGACATGGCATGACTTGAGAGGAGATAACATGACACGGCATGGCATTGCATTACTTTACATTATATATATAAATATATATATATATATAAATTAAACAAAGGAAGTTTAGAAGGAACTTCCGCGTTACGGACATTCAACAGCTGTTCAACCACCACTCATCATACACCACCCATCAGATTTCGTGGCAGGTGCAGCAATTTGTGAACCTCCGTGCGCAGATTTCGTGGCAGGCGCAATACAAAATGCGTGTTCGAGAGATAGCGGACGCACGAAATGCTGTATTTTTCAATAGAACCGGTGGCTTCGAACCTGGCAAGTCTAGCTCTGCGGAACGACTGTTGCGAGACGGTCTCGGGTCATGCTCGGTCGGCCGTCCATTGTGATTAGGTTTTCACTTGTCTCTTGAAGTGCAGATTTCGTGGCAGGCGCAGCACTTTGTGAACCTCCATGTGCAGATTTCGTGGCAGGCGCAGCACTTTGGTGCAGATTTCGTGGCAGGCACAGCACTTTGTTAACCTCCAGGTGCGGATTTCGTGTCAGGCACAGCACTCTGTGAACCTCCAGGTGCAGGTTTCGTGGCAGGCACAGTACTTTGTGAACCTCCAGGTGCAGATTTCGTGGCAGGCACAGTACTTTGTGAACCTCCATGTGCAGATTTCGTGGCAGGCACAGCACTTTGTGAACCTCCATGCGCAGATTTCGTGGCAGGCACAGCACTTTGTGAACCTCCATGTGCAGATTTCGTGGCAGGCACAGTACTTTGAACCTCCATGTGCAGATGTCGTGGCAGGCGCAGCACTTTGTGAACCTCCATGTGCAGATTTCGTGGCAGGTGCAGCACTTTGTGAACCTCCAGGTGCAGATTTCGTGGCAGGCACAGCACTTTGTGAACCTCCATGTGCAGATTTCGTGGCAGGCACAGCACTTTGCGAACCTCCATGTGCAGACTTCGTGGCAGGAACAGCATCCGGGGAGCTGGAAGCTGAGAACTGGCGACTTTGTAGTACAACTTTAGTACGCGGAGTATCTGGCGAGCTGGACGATGAGAACTGGCGACTTTGTAGTACAACTTTAGTACCCGGAGTATCTGTGGAGCTGGAAGCTGACAACTGGCGACTTTCTAGTGCAACTTTAGTACGCGGAGCAATCTGTGCAGCTAGAAGCTGAGAACTGGCGACTTTGTAGTACAACTTTAGTACGCGGAGTATCTGTGGAGCTGGAAGCTGAGAACTGGCGACTTTCTAGTACAACTTTAGTACG